GCCATCAGCGAGTCGTTCCATTATATTATAAAATGGGCGCTTACACATACATTGCCGATCTGTTCGTTGATTTCGGTAATATCATTAGGTTCCTTAATTTCATTTACTCTCTTTGTAGCATTTGTTATGAAGGACAGTGGCAAGGTTTGCATTGTTGCATCCTGTAAGAATACTTATAGGAATCGGCAGGCATAAAATAGTTACTTCCATTAATTTCAAAAATGTCTAGACAGAAAAAATGAATGGCTTCATGTGGTGGCGCTTGGAAGAAAATCTATCCCCAGATACGCTTTTGTGTGCTCGCATCCTTTCTCCTTTGATTCCTATCATGATCAAAACGCAATAGGGCGCTTGAAAAAAGATGCCGTTCCAACAGAGAATCTGGCCTTAGATCCAACGCAATCGCCCACATTCACGTTAGACTCTGACTGTCCATTTCAACAAATTGAGGACCAGCAGGTCTCATCTCTTGAGAATGTAAACAATGACATAAAATCATCGCACCGGAAGACCGTGAATTCTCATTGTTTAGAGGTCAGAAGCTGAAGAGAGCACAGGAGATACTGAAGCTGAGAAAAATTATTTTCACTCAGGTGATACAAAAAAGGGACAGTCATCGAAGATCTCCAAGGAAATGTTTCTCTATGATTCAAGATTAAGTCCACAAAAAATTATTCACAGATACTCAGTTGTGAAATAAGTTATCAAATGCAAGTACATGCATATCCATCCATTGGCCATTAGGATTTTCCTCAGTCTTTTTAGACTGAGGAAAATTCAGTGAGGATGAACCAGGAGAGGTTAGGTTAGCATCAAGGAACTTGCGAGAGAAATATCGGTTCCGCTAAGAATCATACTTGAAAGCAGCTTTTCGCGCGGTGAAGTACCTAAGGACTGGAGGCTGGCGAATGTCGTACCGATCTTCAAGAAGGACGAAAAGAGTAATCCGGGGAATTATAAGCCGGTAAGTCTCACGAGTATTCCGGGGAAGATCATGCAGAGCATCTTTAGGGACCACATTTTGGATTTCCTCGAAAGAAAAGCGCTCATCCGGGACTCTCAGCTCGGCTTTAGGAGGTGTCGTAATTGTCTCACCAACTTGCTCGAATTCTACGATTGGGCGACGGAATAGAGGGATAAGGGGAATCCTGTGGACATCGTCTATTTAGATTTCGCGAAAGCTTTCGATACCGTTCCTCACAAGAGGTTGCGGGTTNCTCCCCCTTATAGAAAAACCTATTTTGGTGTCGTCGGCAAATTTACTTATCATACCCTCTACGTCTAGATCCAGGGTAGGACGAGCGAGTAGGTCAGTAGCTGGTTGTCAGGAAGAGAGCAAGGAGTGATGGTAAATGGGGGAAGCGTCGACCGAGGTCGGTGTCGCAAGCGGGGTCCCTCAGGACTCGGTCCTGGGACCACTTCTGTTATTGGTTTACATAAACGATTTGGATCTAGACGTAGAGGGTATGATAAGTAAATTTGCCGACGACACCAAAATAGGTTTTTCTATAAGGGGGAGGCGGATAGGACAAGAGCCGAGCGAGATTTGAGTCTTTTGGATGAGTGGAGCAAGAAATGGCTCATGAGGTTTAATAAAAGTAAGTGTAAAGTTCTCCACGTCGGTCGCAATAACGGTTGGTCTCTCGACGCGTTTGACGAGGATAAACTGGGGGAGGCAAATGGAGAGAAAGGTCTTGGAGTTTCTATCGAAGAAGACTTCAAGTTTTCCTCGCACGCAAGCGATGGTGGCCAAATGTAACAGGATGCTAGGTTTCATTCGTTGTTCGGTTGCAGGTAGGAACTCGCATTATTCTTCCGTTGAACGCGACGCTGGTAAGACCCCAGTTGGAATATTGCATCCAGTTTTGGAGGCCTACAAATAAGGGTGATTTGTTGGTGCTCGAGGGGCACAGAGGAGGGCCACAAGCATGATAAAGGAGTTTAGGGGACTTCCGTACGAGAAGCGTTTAGAAGTATTGGGACTGTTCTCGCTCGAGAGAAGGTTAAGGAGGAGTGATCTCATCCAGGCTTTCAAGATAATTAAAAGAATAGATAATGTCGAGTGTGGTAGGTTCTTCCAGTTCGATGGCAGCAAGAGAACGAGAGGCAATCAACTCAAGCTGCGTAAACCGCAGGTGCGACTCAGGTTGAGACAGGACTTTTTACTTGTAGAGTGGTGAACGCGTGGAATGCGTTCGACGACGACGTAGTGGCTGCCCCTTCCGTGACTATTTTAAAGAAGAAACTAGATGCTTTTATGGACAAGCAAGAAGGGGGGCAATGTTGACCTAAGGGACTAAGCAGTAAGCAACTAAGATATGCTAAAAAAAAAAAGCAACCCAAAAATACAAAAAAAAGTAGCTTTAAGAGAAATAGGCCTACCCTAAAATTAAGGAACGCTCGACCTCGACACGTGGTGTTCAAATTGGTGTTATCGCCTCTTGATACCACTAAACAACCTTGGACCTTGTTAGGAAAGTGAAGTATTGCGAATAATGGTGATTGAAAAAGGATTTCCATGACAGCTCCGATCCAATGTGAGATGGCTGGACATCGAATTCACACAATCCATCCCAAAGAAATAATTTTTTCGGTGTACAGGGCATTTCCTTCAGTTTCAGATTTCGCGATATAGCTAACTTGCACGATTTCCCGTGCCACAGGCTCGCTTCGCCACCCTGTTTACCTGCACAGTATGCCCTTCATTCCGAGCCGTTCCACCCAAAACGCGTTTCTGTACATATCTGAGAGGGGTCTCTCCGACCCCCCTTGGATGTAGGACACTGTATCTCCATACTGTTTTTATGTGAGGGAAGGCCATAAAGCACACGTGAATTTTATTGGAAGTAAAATGTATGTTGGGATATCCAATGCCATCATTTGAGGCAGTCCCAGCAGTAGAGATTGGTTGAGTCACTTGTGAAATATAGATTTTTGCCCAAAGGATGCGTGAAAGCTATTATTTTGACCTGAAAGTGTAAATCTTAGCCCCTTGGCCTACAGATTCTTGGAAAAGCGAGGAGATTCGGGATGCTTGATGTCAGGATTCGATTTAACTCATCTCATCTGAATGGAAAGTCTTCTGCATCAGATTATGTAATGTAAAGGTTTTATCAGCCTGGAAGGGACCAGAACTGGTACAAGCTTGGATTTCTTTGAACTTTGTGAAGGAGACCAGCAGCATACCATCATTTGTCTTAGATGTCAACCACAGAGTGCTATTCAATTTTTTTTTTAAAGAAGACAGAAGCAGCTGTTTTTTTTAAAATTATTATTGCAAGAAGAGATAAAGTCTAGCACTGGGTCACATTCAGGGATGCATGTGTTCCTATCCTTTTATCTGCTGTAGGGGAGGTGGAACATTGACATTGGCAGTGTCAAAGCCCGTCAATGCTGTAGGTGATGCTGTATGTAAAGCCTGAATTTGATGGTGTGTTTAGAGTATAAGGACTAGAGAGAGAAGAGAATTGTGAGAGTTTCTTATCAAATTGAGGATTCTGTTCTGCGGAGTCTCTTCCCAATTTTTTTTACTCCCAACCTGGAACATCTAATGGAATACCTTGAATTACCCCCTAAAATGGGATTAGCAAAAAAAAAAAATATTTTTTTTTTTTAAAGCAAAAATCTATCTGTCATGCTTTCTGTTTTGCTTGTCTGGTAGTAGGGCTTTACTGATGGCCACATTTGACAGATGGGCCGATGGCCGATTTTGAGCTCATACCTATCGGCCGTTGTAGGTGCCTATTGTGGCGTGTAGAGAAGCAGCGAAGAACCATATTGCCAAATATATATTTAAATAGAAATACTAGGAAGCAATGTTTAATTTTTTTTTGGGCTGTCTCGCTGGGTGTAGAGCTATGGTGTCCAATACGTTCGCCATTCGCCACATTTCACTTTGTATTTTACTGTGTATCAGTCTTGATTGATGACGGTTTACAACCTCAAACCTACTTTCAAAAGATTGCGAGTTCTTTTTTATTAATAGTGTATATATTTTGTATAATGTGGCGAATATGGTGACCTGACCACCACAAGTTTGGCGAGCGTCAAAATCCTATTGGACATCAATGATGTAGAGAAAACATTGATGTATCGACCCGAATTGTCGATTGTATTAATACATCGATGCACCCGCGGGTGGGGGTGCCTGCGGATTCAGCCTTTTCTCGCCACGATCGGGTGGTGTGACTTCCGTCCTCTCTTGCCTCTATCGGGACGCAGACCTCTATCCGTATTCCGTGATCTCTCGCCTGTGATCGAGAAGTGCCGGGGGGGATGTGACCTTCGCGACGGGTAATAAAGCCTGCCACGCTACCACACGATAAATCGATGGATGCATCGGGACAACCGTAATTTTTTCATATTGTTGTTGAGAATCGGTTACCAAGCCCCGATCAGTAGTTTTTTTTTCCCTGCACTTTCTTCTATCAGTATCGGCACCGGCAGCTTGCAAACCTGCCGATGGTCTATAGCGCCGATTGTACCATACCGGTTGTTGCCGATACATTGGTAAAGCCATATTTAATAGTAAATAAAGAGAGTTGGGATAATCATGTCATTATCCCTTTCGTAAAATATGAATGGAAAGTGCATGTCTGTCCTGGATGAAGTCGAATATCTCCCAGCACTGGATGTTAGGTATGGAAATTCCAAAGGAGGTATATCTGACAATCAATAATGAGAGCCGTAAACTCATATCTTGAATTCCTCCTCGCTCTGAAGAATTGTCTTGAAGGGTTATAATAGTCCCTGATGATCAAGTTGTGGTGATGAAGTTTGAATTGAGGTACTTTTTCTGTCATTGTATATTCATCATCCCTCCCCAAATGATTCAAGGTGTTCATGCAGACTCTCCATATAATGCATATGCAATAGAGATTCAATATGAGTGTTTCCTCTTAGTCCATGTCTAGAATTCATGATTTTACATGTAGAATCCCGTACTTGAAAGCTAATAGCTCTAATGAGTTGTTCAGGACTCTCCCCTTATTTTGCCTTTCACATTTTGATTGCAGCAGTGCAACTGGTCAGTGATTTTCATCGAATGTGGTTTGTCTCATTGTACCAGTGTGGGAGAGATTTGAGTCTCACAAGCCAACTGTCAAGACACCTATTTCAGTGATTTAAGTTGAAAAAATACCAACCATAGCTGATACTGGCTTTGTACCAGCAGACTGGCAGCATACTCTAGAACAAACTGGCTACTGCTATTCATTGTGTGATCAATTGGACTTGACTCCCAGAAGAGCAAAAATTCAATATTCATTAAGATGAAAGAAGATGCCATGATGCATATTTCCATGGAGCCCTCTGATCTCAAGCATATGAAAAATGGATTGCCACTCACTGTAAGCTATTTGAAACCTTTCCCTTTGTATATTTTTTTCTGGAGGCCTTTATGTACCATTTTGTTGAGTCATAAAAATGTCAACATCATTGGCCTTTTTTTTTGCCTGAACAGATGAATGGAGTGGCAGCTACAAATGGAGAGGTGAAGTATCGAGGGCATGAACAACCAGTTCTAAATGACTCTGTCCATCCAGCTTTTCCCCCTCCTGTTTCTTCTTCTGCAGCTCAGCCCTCTTCACATCTATGCGAATCTCATGATGAGATGTTTGAAGAACCTCCCTTGTTGATTGCTTTCTTTACTTATGTTGGATATGCTATTCTTGTGATATTTGGCTACATCAAGGATTTCTACCGCAAGATTGGACTAGTGAATCATCTCCAGACCACAGACCCAAGAGAGAAAGAGGTAAAGACTTAATGTCAACTTTATAATGGTTTGGGTTGATCTACTTAACATATGAAATAGACTTGTGAGAAGATAAGATTTTTTGTGGACCTGGTTAAGTTGGAAGGAAATTAAAATTGGTAGTCTATGCATCAATTGTGATACTTTTTGACTGAGAACAGGTGAAATATCCATGAATAATTCAATTTTAAATGGCATCCAACACTTTCTGAGAAGTAAGTGCTCCTGTCTATCCTTATAACTCTGAAGGAAAAATATGCAGTTGCATGAGAATCCACTCCCCATTTGCAATGCCTGCTGAATGGAATGAGATGAAGTCACGTGAATTCTGATGTATGGTTTCTCAGAAAGCAAACTGTCATAACTTAATTTCTCTAATAATCTTTCATCTCTTGCATATCCCATCAAAGAATTAATTCCATCCTGTCATTGAGTGTGATGAGAAGCAAAATTTTTACTGTCAAGAGTTTAATATACAGACTGTCCCATAACATTTTGTAACATTTTATCAATTTGTAGATATTCATAATTAGTTCATGCTATTGCTGTACATTTTCGAGGGGTAAAAAATACATCAAAGCAGCTCATGCATGTAAAGTTATATAGGCCTCATTCACTGGTTTTGGAAATATAGGAGGTAATTCAGAGTGTGACAGCTGTAAGAGAGTGCAACCAGAACTGTATGGCAGCTGCAGAAATATTCAGTGCTGTACCTCATACAGGATGGCTGATGCAATGTGCATGACCAAGAAGAGTGCATTATATTTACCAATTTCATGTTTGGAAGAGGTGCACAAAGCACCCATTGCCATTTTGTGCAAAGACACAGAAGCTTGGTTGAAGCACAGACAATGCATGCTTCACTGTCTCCTGTGATGGAGGAATGGTAGGTTTCCTCTCTGGCTGGCTCTGCTTGTGCTGAATCTGACCAATGGCACTAATCCTCACCGTAACCTCACATGGAATAAGTTGCTTCTTTTCTAAAATAGTTTCATGGATTTTTATATACATTTTCATGCATATGCTCATTTGATGCAGTAGTCTGACCTCAAAAGCACAGTGATAATTTGAACCAGTTACAAGAAGCAATTTAGGAAAATTTTACATTATTTCATTTGGACAGAGTGTAGTTCCTGAAAAACCACTGCTGATTCAGATTGCTTTATTATATACCTTTTTTTTTTGCAGTTTCTTTCCATCTTTCTTGGTAGCATAGGGTCTGTTCCATTTTATATTGGTTTTTCCTTGTTCTTTTTTATCTTCAGAAAAGCCATAGCTGCCCTGTACTATTGCTATCAGGATAGAGCCCCTATGAAAATGAAAAAGGTTACTGAGGTCAAATGAATTCCCCTGACCAGGGTTTCCAGAACTCTTTCATTACAGAAAGTATGATTTAAAAGTGGGGAGAAATGAGGAAATTGCAGAACAAGTTTTCTTTACCAGTACAAAATGAAAACCCAGCCCCATATTATGGAAATGACTGCAGGACCTCCTGTCCTCATGATTCACTCCCTTGCCCAAATTCATTCACCCATATATGCTTTGTGTTTGTCTTGTATCACACCATTTCCATGAAAAAGAGAATGAAACTCATTCCAAAGTAATAAGCATTATTACTGGAGAGAAATGTTTTTTTTTAGCTGCTCATGTTGTGTGAGAGTTGTTTCTCCAATTAAGCATGCTACACTGAATAAAAAATTAAACTCCAATAGAAATTTCAGACAGCAGTCTTTTGTATATTCACAAACCAGAAGTACCTTGCATTCTATGTTAACATGTGTCACATTAAATGGATAACTTCCTTTTGAAGTGCATCTGATTTTAAAAATTTCTTTTAATTTGACACAGATAAACAAACAACCCTTAACTGTTATTGTGTATCAGATGATTATCTAAAGCATGCTTACAGTGTCTTATGATGACTTACTCATTCTCAAGCATCTTGTGAGGTGTAAAAGTAATTTATGCTACCCTTTTCAACTCCTTGCTATTGGATCTAATTCCCAGCCACTGGAATCAATCATTTTGGAGTGATTCGAAGTCCACATGTCAACTTTTATATCACCATGTATTTCACATACTGCATCATGGACTTATAAGAGGGGCATTTGCATTCATTTGTTGAATTCCAGGTCATGGAGTCATCATCCTGCTTCCAAGTTGACCAGTAATAAGTTTTTATTATAACCTTCTTTCTCTCAGAAAATAAATGTGATTGTTGCCAATAAGAGCTGCCCAGAGCCTGGGTTTGCCTTAAAATTTCAACCCTTAATGATATAAAGTTGGATTCCTCCATTATGACTTCAACTCCCTCTCATTTCCTCAATGTGGTTGATCAAAGGATGATCCCATGAAGAGTTTATAATCCATACACTATATGCAAATTTGTTAATAAGAGGTGATATAGGAAGATATCAGAGGTGATGATATAAGAGGTGATATAGAAGATACAGGAAAAGAGGTGATAAGAATGCAAACATTATGGAAGACTTTTGGAGTGCCCTGTTTGATCAATTATGAGAGAGTAAGGCATTCTTCTTTTGTTCACATCTTTTGTACTTAAATGTTGGCACTTGACTCCCACAACAGAAGGCATATTGCTTTATCCAAGTTATGATCATGACAGAGCGTATGGTATAATTTCAGAGTAACTTCTCACCATTCTTTCATGAACTTTGATGTTGAGTTTTCACATGATTGGTTTTATACTCTTCCTTCTTAGTTCATAATTTAGAGGCAGTAGTGATGTAGCATGAGAAAAGGAGACATTTTTTCACTTAGAGAAATCTATATCTGAAGTTCCAACATGAATGCCATCTATTGATTGCTTGCCCACATCAACCATGTGCTGAAATTTTGCATATATAAAATATATAGAATATTTATAAGAAAAAATGATTTAAAAATGCCAAGAAAGAATATATTGGGGATCAATAATTTGTTGGAAAGTATTAATTGTGATTTTGACCCTGTTGGTCCCTTTACTCATGGATATAAGAGTTTCATGCTGAAACTCTTTCCCTGAGATCAATCACCCAGACTTCAAGGTGCTACCCTTGGCAGAATATAAAACTTTCTTTGCATTTTCTAGAATGTAAATACCATATTGTCCCTCATCATTCTGGTGGTGGTTGTCTAATTGAGGAAGATCATCTTCAGTCTATTCTTGGTTTGTGGCTCAAACTAAGTCTTTGTAAAGCTTTCTTTTCCTGGGATTATTGTACCTTTTTTTTCCCTTGGGAAAACCTTTCTCTCTGTTGTTTCCCAACACCATTTTAATCTTGATCAATCTTTAGTGAAGGAACAGTAATTGTTCCATCTCAATGCAAGAAATCCTTTTGTTCTATTGAAGGTAAGGTGAAGCACTATTATTCCTTCAAAGATAAACCATGCTGATGGATGGTAGATGGAGTTTATAAGCCACTGGGAAAATGTATATAGCTGATTTTATTTCAAGTAATAAGCCTAGTTATGTAGAGTTTTGTATATTGATGTTGCCTTTCAACACGTGCTCATCAGAGTCACTCATAAGGACTGTACCCTTTCTTAGCTGAAATGTGAAACAGGACTCTTTTTCCTTGACGAGAAACAGTCTCAAATAGTGAACTGAAAGAGTTACCATGAGAGATTACAGTTCTCTGTGGGTGTTGTGTCTTTTCAGTACAACAGTACTGATACTCCATTTCCTTTAGCAGATGTCTGGAGTTTTAGAGGTTGATGTGAACTGTGATTATTTAATTACAAAGTTTCAACTTGGCATATTTTGCCCTGTCTGAGATGATTACCTTTATTGAAAATCAGCCATTCTCAATTTCAGCTGTGAAAGGGTTAATGTTAACCCTTAGGAATGAGTCAATTCAGATCATGTCCTCTAGGTTGCCTTTTTCTGCAAAAGCTGTTTCCTTGGCACAATTATGCTATGATGATATATCATGTTGTAAACAAGGCTGCAGGTCTGAGTATGTCTGAGTCAATTATTGTATGGTTTTTTTCTTTCTGATAGTGAGTTATGGTGAATATTTATTGTTACAAACTGTCATATCATTGAATGACTAGGGACCAGGGAGTGTATTACTTGTTTGATATATGCTAATAATTCTGTTGAGATATATGTCTTCTTTTATCCACAGGGATATGTACCTCTTTATTCAAGTTTTGAGAGCTTTTATACACGAAACCTTTATCGAGTGATTCGAGATTGCTTCAATCGACCCATCTGTAGCGTCCCTGGTGCTGAAATTACTCTCAAGGATCGTGTCTCTCATGACTATGGATGGACTTTCCAGTGAGTTTTTTTTAATGCTTTTTAAGATGAGTCCACTTCACCCAAGGAATGAGTGACATGGTCAACTTGGATTTCCTAGTTGATTTTTTTCTCATAGGAAGGGGAAGACTGTGATACTGTGAGACATGGAGTTTTTTGTTGTCTTAAACCCATTAGTACATTGATTTCTTCTGTCACATGACCCACAAATTAGGTATCATTTATGGCCAAAAAACCTTCCTTACAAAATCAAGATGTCATTTATATAGTATGCAGCACTCCATTCCTTACTCAATCTTACCATATTTTAATTTTTCCAAAACTATACAATCTGACACAATTTAACTTAAGCATAATAGATGCATTAATTGTGGATATGTATTATACATTTACATTGTTGTAATTTACATACATATCATTTACAAATTTATCTGTAGCTTTTGCATAGAGAAGTATATGCCTCTAAAAAAAGTTATGTATATTCTACAACTGAAAAATGCTTGTGACTATTGAGCAGTTTTTCAATTCAGCATTCCAAACCAGGATCTGAGATGAATCTGGCAGTCAGATTGCAGACAAATATCTCATCATCTCAAGTGGGTAAAGTAATATTCAGTGAAATCAATTATTGTATTCATTTATTAAAATATCATTGTAATTGTATATACCACTCAAGATTTGCAGTGGATCAGCCTCAATGTCAAATAGAATAAAAGAAGTTACTTGTTGGCACAGATTCTAGCTGAAACCATACAAAGGCAACAAAAAATACCCAGCTTCTGAACCCAGGAGCAGAGAATAGGTTGGAATTGATTCAATTGAATGGGTTGGCTATACAGTGTGAAATCAGTCATACATTTACCCCACTTTACTATATAACAAACCCTCACAAAGGGGATCAGTCTAATATTTAATGACTTGTGCATTAAAAAGGTCCAAATCCAACATGTAGCCTATCTTTAAAGATGATTGAAGTCTGCTTTTATTTTCATATGTGCAAAAGCATGTTTGCATGAATTGGAGATGATTGTCAAGGGTTGAATTCTCATGTCCAAAATAGGTTCACAGGCACAACAACACGCTGCATCAACATGGCCTCATACAATTACCTTGGGTTTGCTCAGAACTCTGGTCCCTGCTTTGAGGAGGCTAGGAAATCAATTCATCAGTGGGGTATTGGGATGGCATCCTCCCGAAATGAAAGTGGTGTGTCCCTTACCATAATCATAATCTTCATCATTTCCCTTTTACTTAGGCAGCTAACAGAGGTCTTTCTCCTATTTTCTTTCCTGTGTCTTTTAGGAACCCTGGAATTGCACGTTGAGCTGGAGAAGCAAGTGGCACAATTCGTGGGGAAGGAGGATGCAATTACATTTGGCATGGGATTTGCAACAAATGCCCTAAACATGCCAGGCTTGGTGAGCAAGGGTTGTCTCATCATCTCGGATCAGTGTAATCACGCTTCCTTGATTCTCGGAGCTCGACTCAGTGGTGCTGCCATTCAAGTTTTCAAGCACAATGGTAAGTGAAACATGGTTAGATATTATCACTATGGCCTAAGGTAACGTTTTCAAATGCCATTCTGTTATTTGAGCTAGCAATTACATCACATGTCATTTCTTTCTTTAGCAGCCTTGATTTAGGCTTGTAAGATTTTCTCAGCGTTGGAACAGATCCATGGACTTGTTAATATGAGACATTTAAATTGTAGCTTGTTGTTTCATCATCAGCTTTATCATATGAGAGTCTAATGAGCCTTGACTGAATGACTGTTATTCTCATGGAAGACCTTGTACAAAAGAATACACTGAATTTGATTATATCATGCATCTCACCTAATATTATCTGTTTCCACTCTACGCCTATAAAATGTTTCAAACCATGATGTTCATATTTCTACTATTGTATTTTGGGTAGAATTAATGTATTGTCTTTGTGCAAAAGAGATTCATTATATCTTTGTAAATATTTATCTAATGGGTTGGCCGGAAAGTTATTGCAGTTTCAGACAATATTTGAGAAAACAATTTTATTCAGCAACTATGCAATATCAGTCAACAACGTAAGTACCATTGTGTTCACTACATGTCTCCACCTTCCAGCCAGGGAATGGATTCCGCCGTGGTAGAACGATGGGGGCTGAGGCTCAAAGAACTGTCGCAGGTAGCATTCGAGGTCTTTCTGGTCGTCGAACTTTTTCTCTTTGAGGCGGTTCTGCAGGGCGCGGAAAAGGTAGTCCGACGGAGCAAGGTCCGGGGAGTACAATGGGTGCGGCAGAATCTCCCATCCGAGGGCGAGGAATTTGAGCCGGGTCATCTTTGCGGTATGCGGCCGGGCATTGTCGTGGAGGAACAGCACTTAGTCACGCCCCGGCCGAGCCGTTGAGAGTTTCTGGCTCAATCTCTCCAGTTGGTCGCAGTAGTAGGCCGCCGTGATGGTGGTGTTGGGAGGAAGCAGCTCGAACATCACGACACCTTTCACGTCCCACCAAACGGAGAGCATTACCTTGCGGGGGTGCAGGTCACCTTTCGGCTCCGGCTGCGGCTCTTCATCGGCGTCTACCCACTGCCGCTTGCGGGTATGGTTCCCGTACATCACCCACTTCTCATCCCCCGTGATGACGTCGTCGAGCCAGTCAAAGCGCCGTCGGCGGGAGAGAAGTGCACAGGTGTCGGAATGCTGGTCGAGGTCCTTCTGTGTCAAAGCATGGGGTATCCAACTCCCGAGCTTCCTTCACGATTGTGGACAGGCGGTGTTCGATAGTGGAGTGGGAGCACCCGAGGACGGCGGCCATGTCGCAAGTGGTCATGCAGGGATCGGCTTCCAGAGTTGTAGTAGCGCATCATCCAACTCCGACGGGCGTCCCGACCTCGACTTGTCTTCGTCACTATAGTTTCCGAACTAGAAGCGAGCGAATCGATTAAAGCACGTCTTTTCGCTGATGACTCCTTCTCCAAACGCCTGGCACAGACGGCGATGGGCGTCGGCTGCCTTCTCTCCCAGACGGAACTCATAGAGAAGGCAGGTGCGGAGGTGGACACGGTCAAGGTCGAACTTCTGGCTCATACTTGGCGGTAAGGGATCGAAAATACACTGAACCTGCACGCAAGAAGGGAGACTATTTATAGGCGAAGCGGGAAAATTCTAGAAAATTCGTGAGGCTTCCTAATGAGAAAAGGCGAAAACTGCAAGAACTTTCCGGCCAACCCAATACTTGCTTACTTACTCCACACGTAGTGCTTTCTTATTTGAACCTGATGCTATTGATACCACTCATTGTTTCCCTTACACAGATATGGTGAGCTTGGAAGAAGTCCTGCGAAATGCCATCGTTCAGGGACAGCCACGAACTCATCGTCCTTGGAAGAAGATCCTCATTGTGGTTGAAGGAATCTACAGCATGGAAGGATCCATTGTAAACCTACCAAGAATCCTGGAACTCAAGAAGAAGTACAAGGTAAGCTTGACTTCTCCATGAAATCAACTCAAAGGCATGGGACTTGATATGGGAACCTGTATAGGGGCTGTGATGTTATGGAAAATCATGTATATGTATGTTTCAGACATATGTATACCTGGATGAGGCACACAGCATTGGTGCAATGGGGCCCCGTGGGCGAGGGGTTGTTGACCACTTTGGGCTGGACCCAAAAGATGTTGATGTCATGATGGGGACATTCACAAAAAGCTTTGGTTCTTCTGGTGGATACATTGCAGGATCCAAAGTCAGTCATGGTCTCACTCATCCATTTCTCTTCTGAGCTTCCTGGTCTTGTTAATGAGGTGAATCCTGTTAATCCATCACTGCTCATTTGTCGATACAGGAGCTGATCGATCATTTGAGGACGGTATCCCATGCAGCAATGTATGCCACATCCATGTCCCCACCAGTCATTCAGCAGATTATCACTTCCATGAAGATCATCATGGGAGAAGATGGAACTCTTGAAGGTTTGTTTCAAAGTTTCATATTGTGAGAATACTCAAACTGGTACTCTTGAGGTGAAAACATTTGGCCAATGGTCAGGGTTGATTTATGAAAAACATTTAAAACTAGTGAGTTTGTTTTCCCTTCAGGCAAGCAAACTTGCTATGAACACGCCTTCGGCGCTCTGCAATCTAAGGCATCCGTTTTCTATGCTCACCCCTACTTATACATTAGATATGACATCATCTGATTTCCAGCATAAGGATCATTCAGTGCATCATTTGGTGTTCCGATATTGAATTAAAATTCTGCTAACTCAGTCCCCTCAGGGCACGTACCTTCTATGTCGAACTTCATTTGTAGTATAGAATAAAGCAGCTATTTCTTTTCCCTCCTGCTTCCCTGAAGGAAGAAAATGTATGAGAGTGGTATGAGCCTAAGCATCCATCCATGGGTTGGGCCTAGGCCTGCGAAATCAGTCCCCCCCCTCCCCCAAAACGTGCCCCCAGGGCATGGACCCCCAAAGTTGGGCATTCGAAGTTGGAATTTCTCTGGAGTTGACAACCTAGCAGCTATTCACATTCCTTCCATTTTGTTGAAGGAAGTGTGTGCTTGAGAATGCCATAGGCCTTAGCCCCCAACTTATGCACTCAAACCCTCATGAAGTTTTAGAAATAGAAGCTTCTCTTTCATATCTGGTGCCCATATGCACTGCTTTTTTTTTTGGCATTCAGGCCAGAAAAGGATCCGGCAGTTGGCATTCAATGCACGCTACTTCAGAGAGAAGCTGAAAGCCATGGGGCTCATTGTATATGGGCATAAGGAGTCCCCAGTTGTCCCTGTTCTCCTCTATATGCCTGGAAAAATTGCGTGAGTACAGTATTTATTTGTCCTGTGTATATCCTTTAAATTATAAACATTTTTAGAGTGCAAGTCTTGTAAGCACAAATTGAAGGACTTAAGCTTTGCACATGCAGGTGTATTATACGGGAGATGACAAAAGAGGGAGTGGCTGTTGTTGGAGTTGGTTTCCCTGCCACTCCTCTCATTGAGTCTCGAGTTCGATTCTGTTTATCTGCCAGCCATTCCAAGGAAATGCTTGACAAGGTTAGTTACCTTTGTTCTCTCATTTTGTTTCTGTTAGATCCTCTCGTCCAATCTCTTTCTTGATTGGGAAGACTGCTGTTTATTATTTTGCAGGTCTTGGAGAAGATAGATGTAGCAGCTGATCTTCTATCAATGAGATACTCCCGCCTCCATCCATATAATAAGCACTGAAAAGAAAGAGAGGAACTTGGATATCAGCTCTGCAGTGCCTTGATTGTGATGCTAATATTACTTTATTTAATGGAAGTTTATGTGTTCTCCACAAGTTCTTCTGCCATGCATATTCTGCCTTGTAGACAACAGTTCCCTTTTCTTAACCTCAATTTTCCTGGTTCTCCTGGTTTTCCTGTTTCAGCCCTTCATATTTCATTTATGCCATTCCTAAGAGTGCCATCAGTGGTGGAAATTTGCTTGGTTAGTAATTGAGGAATGTCTCTTCATGTGGACTTGTGAGGTCTGACATTCATCAATGCCTTCCTACACAGGTTTCTACCATTGACATTGCTCAGGAAAATGTGGAACGATGTGCAAAGTGAGTGTAAGCTTACTGCTATATGTGAGCTCGTGTTTGATCGATATTCTCTCATACCTACATTATATGGACCATCAAACCAAAGACTCCATGGATGTTGGGCCTAAATGTTTCTTATTCTTTTATTCTTGTGCCTCATCTAAGGAAGAGAATCTGATCTTTTATGAGCAAAGGCACTGCCAATGATAGCCATGCTTGAGTGCCTTTCATTTTTGCATGTTGCACATTGTGATGCTGATGTGTTATCATTTCTTTGTGATCAGGAGAGTTCTATGGGGCATTCTGATCTGCCTCAAATGTCACATCATCACAAATGAAGTCAATGTTGATTCCTCATTGGTATTTTCATTCTGTGCTAAGCAAAGATTGAGTATTTCAGGCCCTGGTCTTGCTCAGTGCAGCACGCATAGAGTGTGAAGGTATGGAGGTGCCTTGCACACAATCCCCCCAAGACATCTTTTGGGTCATCATCAATCGGAACATTCCTCATCTAATATATATAGACGATCGTGACTGACTGACGGACTGACGTTAATTCTAACCATGTTCTAGAGAAGTTAGAAATCTGAAACTTGGTACACATGTACCTTTAGTGATGCAGAGTTCAAAAAAATCCCACTTTGGGGTACATGCCCTGGGGGTACAAATTTGGGGGGGAAACGTCTTAAAAGATATATATTGTGACGGATTAGGATGCCATCGAGAGGCTTGACAGGATGTCTCGGGTTCGGTGGTGTAGTGGTAGCACACCTGACCGGCAATCAAGAGGCCCGGGTTCAATTCCTGGCCGTTCATTGGCTTTCTTTTGGCTTTTTATGCCTTCCATGTCCCGTTACTCATTCCCCCACCATAACATTACTTTTGCTTGAGTAAAATGGAGGGACATGGAAAGCTGAAACTTGGCATGGATGTGCCTACCAAGACAATGAGTTCAGGGAAAATGCAAAACATTAGATTCATGCCGAGCCGACATTTTCAAGTATTTTTTTTGTCCTGGCCTATTGAGCTAGTGTGGAAAGATGAAACTTGGTACATAACTACCTGTTGGGATGCTGCAGAAAACTTCAGACTTTAGAAGTAAATGCCCTGGGGGCACAAATTTCAAAGGGAGATGTTTTCAACTAATTTTTTTGCATCAGTATTGTGAGCCGACGTTTTCAAGTATTTTTTTTTGTCCTGGCCTATTGAGCTAGCGTGGAAAGATGAAACTTTGTACATAACTACCTATTGGGATGCTGCAGAAAACTTCAGACTTTAGAAGTAAATGCCCTGGGGGGCACAAATTTCAAAGGGAGATGTTTTAAACTATTTTTTTTGCATCAGTTAAACTGATGAACATGGAAAGCTGAAACTTTGCATGAATGTGACTACTGAGACAAAGAGTTAAATAAAAATGTTAAGTCTCGATTCATCCCCTGGGGGAATTTTTTCGAGGTGCGATGTTTTGAAGAAAAAAATATTGTGGCGAATTGGACAGAAATGGAAAGGAAACTTTGTGGGCACAACTTCGTTCACTGGGCAGACATAGAAAAGTAGCTGGCGCACGCATCACTGACGTGATGTTGATTTAAGGAAAAATTAAATTTTTTTTCATACTTCTCATCAGAGCGCAGCTTTTGGGTGGGTTGCTTTTCCAAATATATTTTTTTTTAAAAAAAAAAATAAAAAAAAAAAAAAAAAAAAAAAAAAAAAAGGTACTTTCGGTTAAAACGCCACACACACACACACATATTGCAAAAGGCGTATTTTCTTGAATTTTCTCGATCCAGCAAAAGAGAAGGCGCTAGAAAGTTTAAACTTGCCAAAGAAGAACCTGATGGATTGCTGAGTAAAGAAAAAATTATAATTTTATTATATAAAGAGGATCGTGAGTAGCTGACTGACACAAGTAGCTATTCGCATGCTGAGGTCAGGAAAAATTCTACTTTGGTGATACATGCCATAGGGGCACACCTTTTCGGGGAACATTTTCAAATAGGGTAAGTGCTGCGAATGTCGGCACTGGGGGTAATCTCGGCACTTTGCAATCGTTAAAATTCTGCTTCCGCTACTAGTCCCCTAGGCACGGGTAGATAAGTATTCTCAGATGGTAGGACTAATATTGTTAACATGGCTTGGAACAGCAATATTTGCTGCTGTAGTTTTCTCACAGTAGCTACCTTCTCTCTGCGCACTCCGAAAATCCTGCAAAATATAGTGGTTTTGCTTGGCTTTTTGCTCATTCCGTTCTTCTCTTCCACATTAGGTATTGTTTTATTATGTCTAGTGCATTCATTTTTGAGTCAGTTGTAAACGACAGTGATACATAGTTGTGCTGAGTTTCCCGACAGGGCGATGGCGTCTATACCAGCAAGCGTGCCGAGATTGCCAACATCTGACCCAACTTCACCTTTGACCCAGGCCCTCGGAAAGGAAATGCCTGGGTCACTCGAGGTTTGCCGTAAAAGGAGATTTAATAAAGGTATCACCCGACCCAACATGAACGAGGAAGCTCAATTACGAAAACCAACAGGCAAGGTGGAAGTGAAAAATTTGCTTAGAGTGCCGACATTCGCAGCACTCACCCTAGTTCTCTTTGCTTCAATCAAACGGAGACACATGGAAAGCTGAAACTTGGCAAGAAGGTGACTGCTGACGCACTGAGCTCAGGAAAAATGTCAAATTTCCAAAATATNAGCTCAGGAAAAATGTCAAATTTCCAAAATATTGGAATTTTGGGGGGATATTTCTTGGGGACCTTACGTTTTCAAAGAATTTTTAATATCCTAGCGAATCGGAAAGAAATAGAAAAGTAGCAGCTGGCGCACGCATAACGGACGTGATGTTGATTTAATGAAAAATTCAACTTTTGTTGTGCATCTCCTCAGAGCACAGCTTTTGTGTGGGTCGCTTTTCCAAATACATTTTTTACCACCAGTATAAAGGGGAAACGTATGAGGCTGAAACTGGGTGGCATAGAGTTCCCTGAGTCGACATTTCAGAAGAAAAAAAAAATTATTTAAAACCCATCAGGGCACTTTTTTTAAAGTCCCATTTTCCTGAATGTTTTTTGATCCAACGAAACAGAGACAGAAAATTTAAAATTCCCTCAGAAGTACCTATTTGATGGCTGAGTACAGGAAAAATCCTACTTTTGATATATGCCCCCTTTGCGTAGATTATAAGAGGGAAGTTTTTCAAAATGTATTCACCACCCAGTTTAAAATCCCGACTGGAATTTTCCAGCTGAATTGAATCTGGTTTTGTTAGCTGGTTCCAGCTGGACTCCAACTGTAAATTCAGACCGATTCCAGCTGGAAAGTAGAGCAAAAATCCGGCTGGATACAGGTTGGTTCCCAACAGGAATTTTCCAGATGGACTGAAGCTGGTTGTCTTTGTCGTTTCCGGCTGGATCCTAGATGGTTGCCAGCTGGATTGAAGCTGGTTGTGCTTGTCGTTTCCGGCTGGATTCTAGATGGTTCCCAATTG